TGTTTTATAAACCAACCGCTGGAAGCAGCGCGGCATCCGGGCACGGAAACACTTTCAGATGTGTACAAACAACAATAACGAGCGAGGGCACATGCTGAAATAGTTCTTCACTGCTCTTACAGGGTCATCTGGAACTCCTTAGAGCGGGGTCCGTGGACACGCAGGGGTCAGTTTTCAAAGCAGTGTACGGGGATTTGGCCGCGCGACTCCCATTGACGTTAATGGGAGTCAAACGGGTAAATCCCCACGCTCCGCTTTGAAAATTTACTACTAAGCCTCTTGACTTCTCACTACACACTTTGATTGTAACAGTAATCCATGGTTAACATAATTTTCCCGACAATAATGTCAAACACACTTTTGAAGTCGGTGAATTATAGAAATAGTTACCTCTTCCATAATTCTTTAAAGATGGCCATCAGATGGATCTCGCCGTGGGTTCGTGCGGTTGGAATTATTCTTGAACTCGGGGAAGAATATGTATGTTCTCCTTTGGTGCAGAACTGATTGTGTGCTCACAGACTGAGCTGCTGAACGGCCTTAAGGTGCTCTAGACTGTGAGTATTGTCAGGTTCTAGCTCTGCCCAGCTTGAAAGTTCAGCGTGCTTGACTGGTTTCCTGAGGGAACTTTAGAGTTGGAAGCTGGAATCAAGCACAGGGAATGTCTACCAGTCTTGCAGTACAACCAGGAGTAATGGTGAGGCCTAAACACCTTTTTGGGGAAAAAAGGCTCCAGGCTGTTGACCATCAGAGCAGTGTAAGTAAGGAGCAGGTAAAGCAGTCGTCCAAGCTGGGAAGATCTGAGGAGAATTCATATCCTGATTACAGACCTACCTGTTCGTTTATTAAAATGCTGATACAGAGAATGGATGGTCCATAAAGTACCAATAAACTTTGGGCAGTACACAACTAATGAATGAATAAAACTCTAATAATTGGTGGTGTGAAGTAACTCTTAGCCCGACTAAACTACTTTACAGGGCTTTTTTTTTAGCCTTATTTTATGATATTTATTTATATAAGGATATCAGAAAGTCCTTACAGGAAAAAAAACATGAGTGTGGAGAAGTTTCGGGTTAAAAGAGATATTTTAATTTCCCTGCCGTGCTCCTGCAGAAGTTTACAAGCTGAAAGCTGCATTAAAACCAGAACTTGGTTCAGTGACACAGAGCCACAAGTAAAAACACATAGAGCGTATCACCAGACTGCAAACAGTTTACTGTAAACATGGCTGTGAGCGTGCAGAATGAACATCTGATCTGCTCTTTGCTGTCAGACACGAGCAGAGGCAGAGCAGGCACAGAGCCCCAGCTCACTGACACAAACCCACTGCGGGCTCCTGGGGGTGGGCTACGCGGCAAACCCGACCGTGGGACACCAAACCCCACCTCTGACAGGAGGGAGATCCCATCTGGGAGGTGGAAACAAGGCAGACCTGGTGAATTTGAAGGGGCAGAGCTGAACCAGAGCCATCACCCGGTGCTCGTGGCGGGTAACGCGCTGTGACCAGCGCCGGTAGCTCCGGACGGAGCGTGAACTAAATCATTCCAACTGGGGAGAAGCACTCCTGAGGCTTGTTGACAAGCATGTGATTACCTCAGCTCCCTAACCCACCTGTGGATGTTTTAGATATAACTGAGGAACCACAAAATCAGATGTCAGGGTGGGATTTGTAGGGAACCGAGGATCTGTGCTTTTATCCCGAGTACGTGTTTGCCACAGACATCACCAGGGCTGAGGGGGTTACTTAGGAGTTCATTGGCCTCTTCCTACTGGATTTTAGAAACTTATTTCAAGCTGGAAGTGTGTATTTAACTGGAATAAAGGCAAGCTCTCGGGGTGTCTGCAGGCATGTGCACCAAACAAACGGGCTTTGTAGTCCTCAAGCACCTTTGTTTGCTCCTGATTTGGACCAACATCCAGCCCTTAGAGAAGAGCACATCGGGAATTTCATATATAGCTCTCAATTAAATTGAATTGTGCAAAGCTTATTTATATAAATGAGAAAATTAAAACCTTTTGGTTCGAGGAGTACACAACACTAAGTAAAAACTAATGATTTATTGTTCCCAAATTAAAACCATAAGTGCACGCACTACAATTGAGCTGTAGTGGTTCTTTGTTCCAACACTTTTATGCTGCTGAAAGATGACAATTTATAACCTTTGAATGAAGATTTGTCTTAGCTCTAGGTATTTGTTGTATAATTAGCCCATCTATGAACAAACCCACTGCGTGTTAGTTCCAATATTCCTCAAACGTGAGTATTTGTCTGGGTCTTGCTCACGTGTCAGAAATGTCTATGCAAATTATTTGAGATTAATACAAATTGTTTGTTTGCTCTGCTTGTCACTAAATATCACAGAGAAGTTTCGAAACAATGGTGGTTTTTTTTTTCATACTTAATCATGAAACTTTGTGAATCACATCCAGAGAATTCCAGAGAAATATCAGCTCTGCTGTATTTCAGCCTGTGCTTTGGCTTGTGTTGAAATCTGTGTCCCCACAGTCCCTTCTGTGCAGTTTTCCTGGCACTGACAATTATGACACAAATAACTTCATTTGTAATGCGGTTTCTTTCAGACCCTTTGGTTAAATGTGGAGTGGTTGAGCAGAGCTGGTCAGGATGGAGGGGCAGGAATCTATTCCACACTTAGAGTTGATCTGCATCACTTTTCACTTGGAGGAGGACAGAGCTTAAAGGTGCTTCTCTTCCTTTTGAGCAGCTCAGAGCTGTTTGTTGCCCCTGATTTTTGCTGTAGGCACCAGTGCAGTTTTTCAGAAGTGCCTTTGAATGCTTCTTTTTGGATTTATTAGCCTTTACAAGCAGACTTTAGAAACTCATGTCCCATCCTACTGCCTGGACAGAAGTTGTATGTTCTAATTCTCACCTTAGATTTTTAATAAACACTCAGGTTTTTTGTACTTTTTCACTTCATGTTTGTGTGTTTCTCAGTGAAACAAATTCAGCTGCATTCTGATGTTTGATATATGTTTGTTCCAGATGTTGGTGTAAGAACTGAAAAGGTTAAAAATTGGCATAGCTCAGACACAAGGCATTGAATTCATTATTTGAGGAAGGTACAAAGCACCTGCAATTGCCACTTAAATATCTCTGTGCAGCGAGGGTTTGCTTGCTCCTTCTCTGTCTGTGCTCCATTTGTGACTTATTCCAGTGAAAGAGAAATTCCAGGGGTGCCAGAAAAAACACTACTTGCTACCAAGCTTTGGAATAATTTAATTTAATTGTTTTATATCCTGTGTGATAGCAAAATTCTTGGGAAATTGAAACAATTCTTTGTTGCAGCATAAGAAAAGCCCCACCGAGGGGGGAGAGGCTGCCGTGATTTCCAGTGTGAATTCAGGTTTTCAAAGAATTAAGCTGGAAGATAAAAGATTACTTTTGAGCTCAAATTCCTGGAAATGTCCCTCTGGGCTTAAATTAATCTCGTCTTGGAACTTGATACCGATGTGAGAGGTGTGTGACCCAGAAATGAGGGGGCAAATGGGGTTTGCATTTCCAGAGCGTGGCTGTTCCTGTAACTTCAAGGGCATTTTTAACTTGGGGAAAAAAAAAAGAATGACCATATGTAGGTGTGGAATAAGCAGCACAGGGATGGCAAATCTCCAGCAAGGATCACTTGTCTTACAAAGCCCTGTCTGCCAGCACACTGGGAATGGTGGGAGTGGAGACTGGGACCAGCCTTACGGATCCTGCTCTCCAAACCAGCCCCTCTAAACGCTGCTTTTGTGATAGGTGTGGGACAGAAACACTGGTTTATTAAATAGGCAAATAAATTACTGAGGGCTGACCCCAGCTGAGGCTTTATCAGTGCTGCCCTGCTGGTGAACTCTGAGGCAGAGCTTTCCCGTGGAATTCAGCATGTCGTCACTTTTTGGGTGGAAAGAGTTAACGCCGTGCTCGGGAGCTGCAGGGAAACACAGGACCTGTGCAAAGCTGTGATTCCTCAGGAAGAGCCTTGCAGCAGCACAGCATCCAAACTAAGCATTTTTTTCAGCTTTTTTATTTTTTATCATTTCTTCCTTACTGTAAAGCTGTCTTGAAGCTCCAGTAAAAATGTGGAAGTATTCCACGAGGGAGAAATCCAGGGAGCGAGCAGGGGGGATGCTGCTCCCTGGGCTGTGTTTTTGCAGCTTCCCTAATCTTGACAGCTCTAGTAGTTGCCCCTGGGATAGAAAGAACAAAAAAAATTCAGAACAGTCCATAAAGTTCCCGTTGGTTTGAAAGCAAAACCATCTGCTGGAGCCACGAAGAGCCTGTTAGGGAGTTCAATAACAGGAAAGCCTGCAGCTGATCAGCTGTGCCCTCTGGAACAGGCAGGAGGATTCAGTGGAGGGAGCCAGGGGATGTAGGGAACATCAGGGCAACAGCAAAATGTGTCAGAATAAGGGTTTGTTTCTTTGGTCTCAAATATAGAGCTTTAAGGTTGGGCATTGTGGTTTCATCTTCAGATTTTACTGGGAATCCTCAGGTGTTTGTGGCCCAGGAAGGTTGTGTGTGTGTTCTCCTGAAAGGAGTTTGATGTGGACTGGACAGACACATCCCAAAGTTGTTGACTGAGGTCTGACACGGCTGTAATGGAGCAGCTGAAGGCAGTTTCTGTATTACCTGAAAACTGGTGATGAGACCCTGCTGAAGTAGGGGCTGTCGAGGTGTGTGTGCTCAGGCACACACTGTGGGGATTGAGCTTAACAGGAGAAGAGCCAATGGGTTTTCCCAATGGCTCTGTGGATGCATCCCAGTCAAAGGACAGGAATCCTTTCACCCCTTTTGATGTCAATGTTTGAGCTCTTTCTGTGCTTCTGGAAAATTCATTGTCACTGACTGAGGAAAATTGCTGTAAGAGTAACTTAGTGAAAAAGGTATTATATTGTTCATTGAACAGTGGATCTGCTTTTTTGTTCCTTTAACAGTGGATCTGCTTTTTGTCCATTTAACAGTGGATCTGACTTTTCACTCTGTTTTGGTTGTGTTTCAGTGGTGCCCCCGGGGAGCCCTGGGCCCATCACCCGGCACGAGTCGTACGACAGCTTGGCATCCGACCACAGCGGGCAGGAGGACGAGGAGTGGCTGTCCCAGGTACACTTTTGGGGTGTTCCAGTTCAGGAAAACAGGAATAGCAGCCACTGGAAGTAAATTTTTTAACACCTTGCCTCAGAAGGGGAAGTAAGCTTCCAGCAGCCGGGGGTGTTGCTGTGTGTTAAGCTCCTTCTCTCCCGGTTTTACGTGATGTGAATTTGGTGGTCTCTGCATTTTAAACGAATTAGATAAAAAACAGACAAAGCCCCATCATTACTGACACAGTCACATCTCTGGGAAGCTCAGGACGAAGTGGGAAGTTGCAGTTGGCAACAGCAAGTTACCTCTCTCCCTCATTGTCCTGACAGACGTGGATAAAGGAGGTTGGCTTGGCTAAATGACGGTGCTTTCTGGGTGCTGACTGTGCTGCATTTTACCATTAAAATGGTTTAACTTCCTTCCTTTTCTGGTTATCTGCATTTCCAACTGATAATTCCTGTGAGTTATAGCTAGATATAAACACTATATAGCCTTAAAATCATCCTGCTTGATGCAATATTTTTATATGAGGTCAAATCTTTTTATTTTTATCCATTCTTGCTTTGTCTCAGTCAATGAAGCTTCTCTTTAAGAACTCAGTAAATACTTGACCATTTGGCTCAAAACAGAAGTTCAGTTTAAGAATGTAGGTCATGAATAATGCACTGAGAATTAGTTCCTGTTAGAAATAAAAGGTTAGAGCTAAATAAATAAGTAACATTTACAAATGCTCTGGATTTGCCAAAGCAATTACAAGGTACCTGATCCATGGAATTCATCCTGACAAATTAGGTGGGTTTCCTTTGGTTTAAGAACAATGTTGTTATGGGAGTGATGCATTAAATGTGTTGCTGGGGTGTATGGCATAAATATGAAATATTCATGGATGGGATTTGCTTCTCCCACTGGTGAATAAATCATACACAGCTTTTTTCCTAAAATGAGAGGTTAGGCTTCCACACGGACCTGTCCAGGAGCACATTCACTGGGGAATCCTGCCATGGGAATCCACTTCCCTGGCCTGAGGTTTCAGCTGTGGCTGCAGGTTGAGGCATCTCATTTGCCTGTGCTGTGTCTGATTTCTCACAGCACAAAGGTGGTGAAACTGCTCGGGGTAGTCAGCAGGACTTCTGTCCCTGAGCTCACTGGGGCAAGATTTCAACTGCAGTTTTCCACCTCTCCCGGTACTTTTTGGAGAGAGTTACTTATTTTCCTCTTCTGGTGACTTTGTGGTATAGCAGGAAACCTGAGGAAAAAGAGATTGGGGTAAATCTACCCCATGGGTGCTCATTTATTACTAATTCCTGGACGATACAAGGTGTCCAAGGAACATAAGACTGCTTGAACTTCATCACACCCATCCCTAGAAGAGCAAATGTATTTACAGGGGGATAAAAAAAAATCCCAGTTGATGTCACAGAAGGCAGATAATTCCAGGGATGCTTCCAGAATGTTTAATATTTGCTGAGTGAGGGGGTGGTGATAGCCCTTGGAGCACGAAGACGCCGCCGTTCCCTGAGCAAAGCCACTTCAGATTAAGCCTGAAGTGCAAGTGTGTTTTTCAAAATTAAAGTGTTGTTATCAACAGTAACAGCATGCAGCGAAAAAACACCGCCCTTCACTTCAACTTTTCAATTAGAACAGTGGGTAATGTGTGCTGTCAGTGGGAAGTAGATACAATATGTTTGTCCTGCACACAACAGGAGAGTGAATAGGAACATCTGGCCGTAGCCTCAGTAAAATTGCAAAGGCATCTGTTTACCTCTCGGCTCTGTGACACTGATGGTTTCAAGCTTAAAATATACAGATTACTTTATCTGTGGCCTAATTTACACTGCTGCATAAAAGCCACTTGCCTCAGAAGCGGCTGCAGCCAAGCTGAGTTAGGCTGAGAGAAATGCAGGGATGGAAGTAGTGCTGCACAGGCTGGGGGGGTGTTGTCTTTCATTAGCAGAGAACTTACAGCATCCAGCGTTTCAAATTGCTTCCTAAAGCTTGAGAATCACTGCTGGTGCACATCTATGGCACGTGTACACAAAATCTATTGCCATGAATTTCCTCGTTGAGTTGCATTTCTGCTGTGAAGCTGATTGTTGTTTTAGCAGAATTGATGGGAATTTAATAGCCTTAAAAGTATGAGCTCACCAGAGCCTAATATTTTCATTTCATATTTCCTTTTTTCTGATTTTTAAAACCTCTTTTTGATTTTTGGTATTGTATTGCATGATCTTTCCAGCCTTAATGATTCTATTCTATAATTGCAGAGGTTCTGTGCTTTGTTTACCTATTTAGTTACAAGGCCTAATTTTCCAGTTACCATCTTAAATTTTCATGGTTGTTTGCAGTCCTGCAGTTGCCTTATTTGAGACTTTATCAGAACTGCTGCTCATCACGTTTGCAGTTATCAGTGTGAAAAGACATTTTTAAAATATTTCGGATGCTTCATTTACTGAAATAACTTATTTTTCCCAAGTTCATATCTAGACTCTCACAGGGAGTAGGTACCTAGAGGAAAACTTGAATATTTGGAGTTACTGTTAGACACACCACAGGAATTCTCTGTGCCCTTTGGGAGCTGTGAAGCTTTTATCTCTCTGCGGGTATCTACACATAATCACATGTGCAGTAAATATCCCAAATACACCTACTATATAATACTGGGTGGTGGTTCACTGCACACGAGCACCCCACCTCTGGTTTAATTGTCAGAGTTTAGGTTAAATGAGTATATTTGTGTGTGGCTGCCCTTCTGAACCCCGTGTGTTGCACACCCGTGTTCGTGTTACGCGGTGACGATGCGACCCGGGCGCATCCCGGGGCACTTCCCATCGCTCTCAGTTACAAACCTGGTGCTTCCCAGCAAGATGCTCCCTGCCAGCCATCTCCTCACATATGCCAACAGTAATTATGAGCTCTGATCTGAAATCCAGCTCGCACTGTGTCCGTGGGAAGCAGCGCTGTTAGAGGTGTGAACTTTCACAAAGCAGCTGCGATGAGATTTCTGAGAGAGCATCCCTTGCCATGGTCAGGGTGGGGCTTTCTCTGCCTACTCCATGTGGATTTAGGCAGGAGTGTGTTCCCCTGTTGGTTACACCACAAGGGTAGCTTCACTGTGTTGGAGTTAGAGCTCATATTTCATCATGGCAAGGGGGGGAAGGAACAGGATCGGGTGAGGGAATGGCCAGGATGGATCTTCAGTCTTCAGAACGATTTAAGAACTGGGGTTCAGTGATCTCAGGCTGGAGGTTCATGGACTTTCAAGGCTCTGCCAGAAGCTCTTGGCTTTGGCTAAAACATCTTTTCTCTAGCAGAGACATTCTGAATTTCCCCTCGTTAGACCCTCCTCCAGATGGATGGCTCCGAACCAGGCTCCAGGAGCTCAGCGTTCATTCCATGAACCATTCCCCATATTCCCTTCCCACAGGTCGAAATAGTGACTCACACGGGGCCCCATCGACGCCTGTGGATGGGCCCACAGTTCCAGTTCAAAACAATCCACCCCTCAGGCCAAACCACCGTCATCTCCTCCAGCTCCTCGGTGCTGCAGTCGCACGGGCCCAGCGACACCCCGCAGCCCCTGCTGGACTTCGACACGGATGATCTCGATCTCAACAGTCTCAGGTAAAAACACAACCCATTCCCAAGCTGTTTCACATTTGTTGTGTGAATAACTTGCCTCCTGCTTAAATGGGGCCATCTGTGCAGGATGTGTCACAGTTTTCACCAGGCTTGTCCGCATGAAAGTCTTAGAGGAGCGTGTGACTCACCAACACTAAAAATCCATCCAGGCCAAGCAGCTCAGATTCCTTTTGCTGCCCCTTCTTGGGCACAGGACAGGGAAAGACAGGACAAAGCCTGGTGGCCTTGCTCAGCATCCTTTAATAAATTCATTTTCTCACACATGAGTGGGAGCTGTGTGCTGTTTGGATTTAGATGCTGATTATCAGTGGTCAGTGTGTGGGAACAGTAAGTGAACTTCTGACATGTTTTCCTCCTCCCTGGTTTTTTTTTCCCCTTCCTTTGCGTCCTTCCCTGTAATTCTTTCTCATGTGTTTAATTCATCTGGTTTTGGACATTGGCTGATCTGGAAGTGGGGGCAGGAGCTGGGCCTAGGGAAGGGAAGGAAGGAGAGTGAAGGTAACTGGGGGTTTGTATTTACTGGTGGTTTTAGAAGAGCTTTGTGCACCATGTTTTTGTGTCCTGCCCAGGAACTCCAGAATTTAACAAGTTTTCCATGCTGCTGACTCCTCATGTGATTTGGAGTCCGGAGTTCTGTGGTAGGGACTTGGATTGTTTGGGACTCTGTGTGAAACTCTTAGCAGTAAAATAAGAGAGATGGGTATTATGACTAATCCCATTTAAACTGGGCAGACTGTCCCTGGACTGGAAATCCATGGGTTTGAAATCTGTGATTTCTCCTTGTTTGCAATTACTGCCATGAGTTGCCAAATATGTTATTTTTTGTTGTATATATATGTGTATGTATGAAGAAAGAAAGCAGAAATAAAAAACACACCTGTGGATCTGTGTTACAAAAGGGGTGGGCAATTACAAACGAGCCTCTTCTCCTAAAGTGGCAACACCTGCTGTTGAGGAGGTGGTGGAGGCTTTTTAACCAGTCTGGGTGGGGTGAGCCTTTCCCTTTGAGGCTCCCTGAGAGCTCCCATCCAGGACACACCTCGGGAGTGCTCCCTTTGGGAAAGCCTCAGTCCATCTCCAGATGGACTCTCCAGATCTGGGCTCTACGAAGTGAAGGGAAACAGGGAGTTTTCAGCAGCCCAGGGGTGACTGTGTGTCCCGCAGGATCCAGCCGGTGCGCTCGGAGCCCGTCAGCATGCCGGGGTCACCGCGGCCCGTGTCCGACCGCAGGGGCGTCTCCACCGTCATCGATGCTACTTCAGGTAGGAACCCCTTCATTTCTGATTTTCTTTGGTGCTCATCAATCTGCTGGGTTTTTTTCCTCTGGTAAATGTTCACTAACCGTTGCCACAGACGTGAGGGGTGTCGTGATTTGCAGCTGCACAACGGGGTAAGTGCTGTTGTACAAATACTCACTGAATGCTGCCAGAATGAGGACTTGGGTTTGTCTTGTTTTTTTCCCCCCATCTTACCACTCAAATGTGAAGTTGCAGCACTGTGGTAAGGTCTGGACACACTGTTTACATGAGGTTTAACATGAGCTCTAGAATGCTAAAATCTGCCTAAACTAAAAAAGCAGAACATTTACAAATACTAACACTGAACTGCTTTTATTAATGAATGCCCAAAGCAGAGAATATTACAGTTCCATCTCATTTATAAAAGAGCTTTCATTGAAATGTAATCATAAATGTAATTGATTTCTGTGAACAGTCAGGACAACAGGAGAGTTTATCTGATGTTTGTGTAATAGGCACATTTTCACTACTCTGCTCTGAAGGAGTGTGTAAATTTAATATCACAGTGGTTATGTTAATATCAACAGAGTAATATATGTACTATAAAGTTCTCTTTCTCCCTCAGTGGTGGGGTGTAGCCTGTCTAAAGAAACAAGGGCAGCAGAGCTTTATGTTCCAGTGCAGCTGTACAGCGTCTGAGGGTCCACACAGCAGGATTTTGTCAAATAAAATCTCTCACAAGTAGAATTATTAAACACACAGCATTAGTCAAACAGTCAAGTCAGAGAGGATTTTAATCTTCAGCGATTTGAAAATCCCTGGAGACTGCTGATTGGATTGAGGTTAAACTGTAAAGAGAGACTGTAACACATACAGAAATGGGGTTCTGAAGGGTGGTTTAAAGAGAGTTAAAATAAAAGCTCCTGTTTCAGGCTCTGCTGTTGATATAAATGCTGAGTCCAAGACACTGCATTGTTTGCCAAATGAATTTATTTGGGTATTACAGGGTATTTCTTATATGTGTTTATAACCGAGTTCGATAATAACCACGTTTACTTTGGATATTGAGAATTGTCATTATAAATTCCATTTTCAAATATTTAAAAGTCGTTAAATTAATTCACATTGAGCTTAGACAAACATCTGATGCTGGTTGTTTAAGGGGAATTTTGTTTGTTTTACCACAAGACAGACTAATTTTGAAAATAATTGTTTGATACAGCAGAGAACATCGATGCATCCATTAGGGTTTGGTTTTTGGACTGGTTCAGCTGTGCCTGTTAGCCCTGAAAGGTTACAAGTTTGAATCACAGGGGGTGCTCCTGTCTGTGTGTGTGACACTGGAGGTTCAGAGTGATTAATGGCAGAGCTGTTCCCCACCATCAGCTGGTACAGAGAGAGAGATCAGGATGATCAGCGTGGGGAGTTCTCCCTCATGTGTAGGGGCAGTGCCTTTACCTGTAACAGGGCTGTGTAATAATTCTGAAATATGAGCATTCTGTAGGACTTGTGCCTCTTCCGTACCAAACAGCTTTTCCTGAGGTGTGGATGGGGCTTTAATACGAGCTGGCCCATGTGGGTGTGATGGAGCTCCATTTGTAATGCCTTTAACATGTGTGTCCATATTACAACTGCCACAGTCCATTGTGTAAGTTTTTAGGACACTGAAGATATATTTAGTGCACAGCAGTGACTCAGTTTTGTTGTAACACCTCATAAGTTTCTTACAAACAATACATGGGTTTTGTTAGGGACATGCTGATGGCAGGGTTTAATTTACTTCCCTGCCAGACAGGCTGGATTTGAACTGATTTTTGATAGAGGGACTTTACCATCTATTATCAGTTTTTGTGTTGCCTGAGCCCTGTCCTTTCCCGTGCAGAAATCAGTGCAAGTTTTAGGTTGTGTGTGATGGTGTAGGGCTGTGAATTCTGCTACAGAGTAAAGGAGGCACAAGGGAAAAAACATACACTGCTTTCTGAGGTTTGGAGATGTTCTTGTAGCAGGGCCCAGCAGAGAGGAATATTTTATGCTTATTTTCTTCCCACCTCTGAGAAGTGCAGGAAATGCCACTGAGCTCAGCTGTGGATGTGAAGGTTTCATTTCAAATACTGCTCCTGCACACCATTGCATTTTGGTGTTGCAGCCCACTGCTGCAAATATTCCCATTTCCTGCTGCGGCCGACCTTCGTTATGGAAAATACATTTCTAGGTTTGAAGGATTTTTAAGTAGGTCATAAATTTTTCCTGCCGGAGCTGACCCAGGAAGTGATTCTTGAGCTCTGACCTGTGATTTCAGCCTGTTGCTCTTTATGAAGATGTTTATCTGGAGGTTTCATTGCCTGTTGCTTGGAGATACAACCCCTGTGGCGCCTCTGCTTATCTGACTCATCACTTCTTCTTCCTATCAAAAGATTTCAAGTACATGTTTATCATCTCCCATTATCCTCCTGCCATTCTTGATGGCTTCCTTCCTTCTCCCCCGTTTGTGACAACTCTGTTGCTGCATTTAATAACAAATTTATGTGCTTTATTTTTAATCATGATTTTCACTGTAAAAAACTGGGGTGTGCTAATGACAATCAGGTCGTTTGGAAAAACCTGCCTTTAAGAAGTATGTCATGGGTTTTGGATTTCCTTACAAAACTAATGCCATTATCAATAAGGAAATTTTGCAATGCTGTTTTCAGCTTGGATGGTTTGTTTCTATAACCACTCCTGGGCTAAACTGGAAAAAACCCAGTACATTTCAATATGGCAGTTAACTCAAAATTCTCCTGAGATGTCCTTCTCTGATTCATTTTTTTTTTTTAAATCAAACCTTTAAGGGAAGTTTGCAAAGCTGCAGTCACCTAAAGCTACTGGACATTTGTCCCTCAGTGCACACATTTCAGTTGTGTACATCATGGAGAGAATATACCCTGAAGGATTAAATGCGCTGTAATTCCAGATGCTGTTCCAGATTGGCAGTTGGAGATGTTAAAGGGGCACCACTGGGTTTAAATCTGTATAAAGCAGGAAACCTTTTCTGATAGTGCAGCAGGAGACCCAGTGCTGTGCAGGCAGTGGCTGCTGACTCTCTGCAGCAAACAGGAGCAGCCATGAGTCCATCCTTCCCAAAGTGTGCTCAGGCTGCTGCTCTGGCTCTGGTACAGCTGGGAAGAGTCTCGGTAGGTCAGGTTGTATTTAAGACTTTTTTGGACACCAGAGATGAAAGAAAAACCTGAAAGAGCCCCATGTGCAGGAGATGCTGCAGCTGAAGGTCACACTCTTTACACACCCAAACCAATCAACCCTATGACTAAAATCTGTGGTGTGACCAAAAAAAATCCATGCTGAACGACCTGTCTTGTGTTTCAGAAAACCACCCTGCAAGCAGGATTTGGAAATCTTACATCATGATGCACATCATATATGTTCCATACCTGAACAATCAAACCTGATGGATATATACATAATACAGAAATTAAGGGTGTAGGGAGGTTAGCATACCTGTACAGACAACTCTGAATATTCAGAGCTAGAAAACCTCCAGGGGAAGGGTTTTCAGCAGTTCCTGAGCACGGTGAATTTGCTCTCACAGCTGCACTGAGTGTGTGGGCAAGTGTTTCCCTTAAACTGCAGCACATGTGTGGGCTCAGGTGCTCAGGTGTGCTCAGTGAGTCAGCCCTGCTCAGCCAGGGGAAGTGGCTGCAGTTGTGTGTGTGAAAACTCGTGTTTATTCCCTCACACAAAGAGGTTTCGGACACCCAACAGCCAAATAATGATTTGGTTGCATCGTTGGTGGAGTAGGAGAATATTGACAAAGAAGTTGTCTGATCTCTTCTTTACATCAACCTTTTCCTGCTTGGAGGAGATCATAGAATAGAATCTTTCTTTCTTTCTTGCTTAGGACAAAAGCAGAAGTTAAGAGTGGGAAGGGTTTTAATGAATGGTGTTATTTAATGAACAAAATTAAATTTGTAGAAGAAAAAGATCCTGAGGGGTTTTTTTGCCCTCTTTGATTGTGTGCAGGGTGGAGGCACCTTAATGTTCTCATCTGAAACCTGGCTGTGCTTCTTAGGGATGCACATAATTTTTTAATGAAGATTGTTTATTGCTGTTGTATGAAACTCTGACAACACTAAGCTCTCTTCTGGTTACTTCAATCAATGCCCACTTAAAATCAGCTTGTAATTTAGTACTTCCCTTTCTTTTGTGTGCGACTGGCTGGTCATGGACAGATAACTCAGTGCCTGCAGAGGGTTTAATGAACAGGAGAATTCACTTGGGTTCTGTGGGGGAGGGAATTGGCCTCCCCTCCCTCCCTCCCTGCTGCCTCTGAAGGCCCTTTCATTGTTCATCCCCACACCTGGGAGACAGGGACCACGGGACAAATTCTTACTGTCCAGCACTGCTCTCACTTGGAATTCAATAAACACTTGTGCTGTCACACCTCAAACCATCTGAGCTCTTTTCTGTTGTCTGCACAATCAAATATTCATTCCCAGGCTCTGCACACCACAAAGTGCTGCCTGGCAGCAGCACAGCTCAGTTATTCAGGTAGTAAAGATGTGTGAATGCAGCTGGCAGATGAAGTCACCGACATTACCAATTCCCAGGCTGTCCTTCCTGCCACAGGCAATCACTGGCAGGCCTGGGCCCTGCCTGCTTTCCCAGCCCAGGCTCTGGAAGGGCCCGGGAGCGTCACGGATGCCTGAGCTGCTGTGCTCGAGTGGAGGGTCCTCGTTGCAGAGATGAAATCAATAGGGGCTGAGTCCTTGACCTCAACCTGTAATTACCTGCAGGGGACAAAGGTGGGTTGTTGGGGCAGGTAGAGATTGCACTCAGTTATAATGCTGAGCTTTGAAGCCCAGGGAGGGGTTTGGCCCTTGGTCTGTTCTTCGCAGCAGTTGAGAGGTTTTAATAATGGGCACAGAACAAGCTGCTCTTGGAGGGCCTCACCTGTTCAGTGACACAAAAACACACCCAGCGCTGCTTGGTTTGGATTCCTGCATCCCCTCAGCTCAAAGTTCACTGAGTTG